TGGGACTTTATGTAAACCCAACATGGCGGCCGCCTGCTCCAGAACCCTCGGTAAGGTCGGCCTGTCTCTTCTGGGGACCCCCGCGGTTCGCCGGTCCGGAACCGTGACCCGTTTTCTGGGTAACGCGGTGGTCCCGGGTCCCCGGAGGCCGTACGGAACCTCCGGGGCCGGGTTCCGGGCCAGGCCGCCCGGGTCCTGGCGCTCCGGGGGCGGAAGGGTCCTGGGCTGCGCCTTTCTGTTGGGCGGCGGTTTGGGTCTCTACCAGACCCTGAAGGGGTCCGTTCAACAGCACCTGGCCGAGGAGGAGGCTAAGGTGGGTGTGCAGGTAGGTCTGGATCCCTGGGGGGGGGGGGGGGGGGGGGGGGGGGGGGGGGGTTAGGGTCTGTCCCCGGACGGGGTCACCCGGAGGCGGGCGGAGGTCGAACCGCAGATTTCTCCTGAACGCGTTCAAACCGTTAAAACGGTTACCGTAACGCTCCTATTGAATGCGCACATTATGTCTGAGTTTTGGTTTTAGCCTAAAATAAGGAGAAAATTATCGAAATTTTAAGCTTCTGTCTTTCGGTGGACTCTTTTCCAGCATTAAATCTTATCTCCCACTTCTTGGGGAAACTTCTGCTCATTTAGAGAAATTTACAGCTAATTTTTAAGGGAAAAAAATCAGAAATTGTGAATATTTTCCCTTTTTTTATAATCAAAATGCTCCTATTGACTGGGAACCTTCTGTCTTTTTTGGGTTTTAACCTAAACAAAAGGAGAAAATGATCAACATTTTAAGCTTCTGTCTTTTGGTGGGCTCTTTTCCAGCATTAACACTAATTTCCCACTTCTTGGGGAAACTTCTGCTCATTTAGAGAAAATTAGAGCTTATTTTAAAGGGGCAAAAAAGCAAAAACTGTGATATTTTTACTTTTTTTCCCAATCAAAACGCTTCTATTGACTTGTGCACTTTCTGTCTTTTTTGGGTTTTAGCCTAAACAAAAGGAGAAAATTATCCACATTTTAAGCTTCTGCCCTTGGAAGGACTCATTTCCAACATTAAAACTTATCTCCCAGAGAAAACATGAAAAAGAGAAAATTAGAGCTGATTTTGTAGGGGAGAAAAAGCAGAAATTGTGATTTATTTTTACTCTTCTTTTGATTATAAAGGATTTAATCTTAAAAAAGGAGAAAATGGTTCTGCTTCTGCCTTTGGATGGACATTTTTCCAACATTAATACTTATCTCGATCTTCTTGGGGAAACTTCTGCTCATTTAGAGAAATTTACAGCTAATTTTTAAGGGAAAAAAAAAGAAATTGTGAATATTTGCGCTCTTTTTCTAATCAAAATGCTCCTATAGTTTATGCACCTTCTGTTTGGGATTTTAGCCTAAAAAAAGGAGAAAATGATCAACATTTTAAGCTTTTGACTCTTTTCCAACATTAACACTTATCATCCACTTCTTGGGGAAACTTCTGGTTGTTTAGAGAAAATTAGAGCTGATTTTGAAGGAAAAAAGGCAGAAACTGTGATTTATTTTGACTTTTTTTTTGTCAAAACGCTTCTATTGACTGTGCATCTTCTCTCTTTTGGGGTTTTAGCCTAAAAAAAAAGGACAATATGATTCTGCTTCTGCCTTTCGGTAGACTCTTTTCCAACATTAACACTTATCTCCCACTTCTTGGGGAAATTTCTGCTCATTTAGAGAAAATTAGAGCAGATTTTGTAGGGGAAAAAAAGCAGAAATTGAGATTTATTTTTACTTTTCTTTTGATTAGAAAGGATTTAAGATTAAAAAAGGAGAAAATGGTTCTGCTTCTGCCTTTCGGTGGACTCTTTTCCAACATTAACATTTATTGTTTGAACTTTTCTTTTGACTTTTCTGCCTCGTTTTTATCCTGATTTGGTCGAATCAGGACAAAAATAAAGAAACTCTAGTGGCCAGTTTGATGATAAAACACAATAAATTAGATTAGATTAGAACACTTCTTGTTTGAACTTTTCTTTTGACTTTTCTGCCTCGTTTTTGTCCTGATTTGGTCGAATCAGGACAAAAATAGAGAAACTCTAGAGTCCAGTTTGATGATAAAACACAATAAATTAGATTAGATTAGAACACTTATTGTTTGGACTTTTCTGCCTCGTTTTTGTCCAGATTTGGTCGAATCATGACAAAAATAAAAATACTCTAGAGACCATTTTGATGATAAAACACAATAAATTAGATTAGATTAGAACACTTATTGTTTGAACTTTTCTTTTGACTTTTCTGCCTCGTTTTTATCCTGATTTGGTCGAATTTGATGATGATAAAACACGTTAAATGTGATATTTTGAGTGAATATATTAGATTTTTTGGTGTTTTTTTTTGCTGACTCGGTGCTTTTGTTTTTTTTTTGTTTACGGCTGTACTTCTGCTCCCAGCCTGCAGGGGGCG